CCGTGCACTTTCGCGTAGACGTCCGTGCGCGTGCGCGCAGCACGTCACGTGCGCGCATCTTCTTCATGCCAAGCGCCTGATACAGGCTTTCCGTAAGAGGCACATTGAGACGAGGCTCCGGATGGGCATCCGGAGGCGGCCCCTTGGGAGGGGGCAATGTCAGGAACACTGCACACAGCAGATGGCGTCTGCGCATGCGCGCGAGCACGGCGTGACCCGCAGTGTCGGGCCGGGCCGTGCACTTTCGCGTAGACGTCCGTGCGTGCGCGTAGCACGGCGCGTGCGCGCAGCACGTCACGTGCGCGCATCTGCGACGTGTTGTGGCGCCAAACGGGCTATTTAAACTCAGCTCCTCCATGTCTCCAGTGCTGAGTACTCTTTCAGCTTGTGCCTAGTATCCTGTGTCTGTTCCTTGGTTTATTAGTTGTTGGTTTTGACTCCGGCTTGCTCCTGACTCCGCTGACCTTCTGGTATCCTGATCCTGGCTTGTCTAGACGATTCTCCTGCTCCCTGCCTGTTCCTGCATTGCCCGCTTGTTACCAAACCCGGCCTGTGACCCGACCACGAGATTGCCTTATGCCATACAACCTCTCTGCCCGCACGTTGCTGATCCGGTCTGCCTGACTTCGTTTACTCTCTGTCTGCCTCCCTGCTGTGCATTTATATTATCCCTCACGGCAAGAGACCGTACGAGTTACCCTCTGGTACCGAAGTCCTCATCCAGGCACTCATGCCCCGCTGTGCCCCAGACTACCTGTCTTCTCTACCAGGCTTTCTGGGACCAGAGTTGCAAGAGAGGGGCCGCCCTCGTCATCTCAAGCTCCACCAGGTACGTGACACAGAGTCACTGTGTGTCCAATATTGAGGGGGGTGACCCTTGAATTAAATTAATCGTTATTACACATCTAAACTCTTTAGTATCCATTGATAGAAGGTTTGAGTTGTTTGTGAACAGTCAGACCCTAGAAAATCAGCAGCATCAAGTTATCTCCGGGTAGAAATAAAAAATGACATTAATGAAGTAATGTATACAATCCCAAAAAATCATCTTTTTTTTATTTCAGTACCTGAATTTGACTTGTTAGCCTTTTCTCATGTGTGTTCCTTTTTAATACAACTACAGTAGAGGAAGAGGAAGTATTAGCCAATGAGGGATGATGCATGCACATGTGCTGACAAACACCTCTGCCTGCTGCTTCTCCATCACTGTCCAATCAGAGGCTGTGGGCTGACCGGGTAAAACATCGCCCATATATGTATTTCATCTGTGCATTTGGCTGTTTGCCTAGAGTTTCGTTTTTAAAGCACCTTCTTCAGAATAAACATTAAAGCAGCCTGTAGGCCAGGCACGTCAAACTCAAATGAAGCAAAGAATGAACTGCGTAGAATAATTGTGCAAGGCAAAGAGCAAATAACAGGCAGTGTCGATTCAGCAACGCGATCGATTTCACAATGCGCGCATCAGTAGCAGTTCACAATAACAGCACTCAGTCCTCTGAGGCAGCAACATGGGCTGAACGAAAACAAATTTTTTTTTTTATGAAAGTAAAAACAGATGCATACATGTGCAAATATATGTAGAACCACAACAAAGCGCTAGTACAAAGAACCAACCATGCAGACATACGATACTGTACATATGTAGCAATGAAGAACAAGCTTGAAGGCACAGCAAAGAAAAATAAATTCTCATCCAGGGCCTCTTGGCTGGCTTACAGGCTTAAAGCATATTTAAACCCAATAACAAAAGTGCAACAAATTGTAGCTTACCATTCCGTAAATGTGGTGGCTGCATTAGTTTTCTTTCTTTTTTTAACATACCTTTTTTCTATATTTTCGCCTGGCAATCATACCAGTAACACACTTCCTGTCCCAGGGTTAAAGTGCTAAGTCTTCATACAGTACCTATGAAGAATCAACATTACCGCCTTTTTACAGGACAACAAACATCTTCCCTCGCCTCTTTTGCAGGTGAGGGGTTATGTAGTCCATAATAAACTAGAAATAATAAGTGATAAGAATATTACACAAGCAAAAGGCACAGTAATGATTAGCTTACATAATTTCTGGCAGGATGAACAGGTTTTTTTTGCACTTATCAAACAGATATAACAAAACGATTTCAATGTTATTTTTAATAGACGAAAAGGGACAAAATAAGAGAAGGTAATTTGTAGGGTTTAAGTACTCTTTAAAAGAGAACTATGGGGTAAGTGTTTTTCCCCGTAGTTCTCTTTAGGGTCATGGGGGGACATAGACTAACCTCCTCCCGAAACCCAAAGCTCAGTAAAGAGCTGCAGCCAGGACGGATCCCGACAATATTGTTGAAATCCACCCCGCTGCGTGAGTGACGGCTGGCTCTGCCTATATAGAGGCAGAGCCAGATGTGCCCGCCCTCTTCCCCGTCCGTTCCTCCACTCAGCTCTGGAGGATCGGAGAGGGAGGTAGGAATCCCTGCGGGGTGCAGTGACTGACAGCCACCACTCACTGCAGGGAGATGATCGGGAAGTAGGCAGATCGACGGCATGTTTCTGTTCACTTCCCGATCGATAGAGCCCACCTGTGACAGCTTCTTTGTCACAGGTCGGCTCTAACTATGAGGATGAGTGGAAATCCCTCACCTCATAGTTCTCCCTTAAGTCTGGACAGATTTTTGTAGAGCTCATTACACCTGCAGCCACATTTCTTTGCTACTTTAGAGAGCCTACCATGTTTTTCTTTAAACAAATACAAGAATGATTCCACCTTTAAAGGAGAAATTAACTCCCAAAAAATGTCAGGCAGAGGACATAGGACTAGTCTCCAGCACTGCCTGTGGTCTCCCTGCAGCTTATCCTTCCCTTTTTGTGACGTACCACGCCTTGTTCTACACTATGTCTCTGTGTAGGGGCGGCCATCTCAGTAGAGGCATGACTTTGCTTTCTCATGTCAGAACCTATAGCAAGGAGAACAGTGAGCTGCACAGAGGTGACATCACCAAATCTCATTCGAAATCTTCTGAGCCTAGCAGTCAGAGGTACAAGTCATTGAGATCTCGCAATGCAGATATACAGCTATGTGGCTGTAGGCACAAATGTGCCTCGGAACCCTCACGTACCAGGAAGTGCACAGCTATTTTTCAAAAGGAATTCCAGACAAAATGTCATTTCTTTCAGGGCGCACTGCTTAGGCACAATTACCATTTCTACATTTCCCATATTACAAAGCACTTTTTTAGTTCGGTTCCACTTTAAGAAGGATGGATTTAATTCAGGGCAGGTATCCTGTTGATGGCTTCATACCTATGCATTGTGGTAACACACCAGACCATGTGTTGGTGCATTGTGATGCCATTAGTTTTTAATGGCACCTCAATGCACTTGCACTGCATCCCACCACAGCGTAAGCTACTGCACTACCAATATTTGTGGTGCACAGCGTCAGGGGGAAAAAAAGGTGCATGTACTTTTTTTCATCCCCCTGTGCTGAGTGGGCAGCCTGAACGCAACACATGGTAACGCGCAACTTAACACGCATATTATGTTAGGAAGAATGGGCGTTTGCATGCATTACCACTTCTTCTCAAGGTTTCTGGTTAGGCCTCAATTCAGAGGGGTGGTAAAATCAGGTGGATGATCCATGGTTTTACTGCTCTTTAGCCACCCACTGCAATGGTAGTATTGTGGCCAGACATTGCTTTATACATTGGACAACCATACAGGTGAATGGGACTGTGCCGCGGCATGGTAGGTTAATGAAAGAACTCCCTTGGGATCTAAAAACATACATTCAGTATCGCCTTTTGAACACTGGCACCTGCTGCTCTACCCACTCTGTGAAAAGCTATCCAATGTGGATCGCTTTTCACAGGGCAGTGGAGTCCGCCGCCTGTCTAAACAAGGCCTGAACCATACTACTGATGTGATTCTAGGTGATCACAATGTGCTACACATACTGAAATCTTGCATTTTTTTTTTTTGTTTGGGCTCATATCCATTCTGTATTACACTGCAGCAAACTCTGTGGGATCTATTTATAAAGCAAACAATGTGGTGCTGGAGAATAAATTACTCCCATTCAAAGCCCATGGACCTGGATGGTTTTTTGCAAGGGAATGTTTGTGAAAGTCCTATTGTCGGTCTTTTTAAATATACCCTTTGAGGTTGCAGTAGAGCCATCATTGTGTATTGAGCATTCTAGCATTAGTGAATTTGCCGGAGTAGAACCACCATTGTGTATGAAGCCTTCTAGCATTAGTAAATTTGCCGCAGTAGAACCATCATTGTGTATGAAGCCTTCTAGCATTAGTGAAATTGCCGCAGTAGAACCCCCATTGTGTATGGAGCCTTCTAGCATTAGTAAATTTGCCGCAGTAGGACCACCAGGGCGTATGGAGCCTTCTAGCATTAGTGAATTTGCCGCAGTAGAACCCCCATTGTGTATGGAGCCTTCTAGCATTAGTGAATTTGCCGGAGTAGAACCACCATTGTGTATGAAGCCTTCTAGCATTACTTAATTTGCTGCAGTAGGACCACCATGGTGTATGGAGCCTTCTAGCATTAGTGAATTTGCCGCAGTAGAACCCCCATTGTGTATGGAGCCTTCTAGCATTAGTGAATTTGCCGGAGTAGAACCACCATTGTGTATGGAGCCTTCTAGCATCAGTGAATTTGCCGGAGTAGAACCACCATTGTGTATGGAGCCTTCTAGCATCAGTGAATTTGCTGCAGTAGGACCACCATTGTGTATGGAGCCTTCTAGCATCAGTGAATTTGCTGCAGTAGGACCACCATTGTGTATGGAGCCTTCTAGCATTAGTGAATTTGCTGCAGTAGGGCCACCATTGTGTATGGACCCTTCTAGCATTAGTGAATTTGCCGCAGTAGAACCCCATTGTGTATGGAGCCTTAAGGCATTAGTAATCATTGGGGTATTAGGATGATTTGTTAAAATTGGAATGGAAAGCAAAGATTGAGCAGAAGAATTAGTAATTCCACTAGTGTTTATATTTGACAGTAACCTGTTCATATAGACATGGAGATATATAGACCAGATAATGGTACTATATCTAGGAACACAAAAGTCTCATTCACATAAAGCTGAGAAAGGAAAATGGTAATATGCAGCAAGCCCTGTTATTCATTCACACAACACCTTCCGGCTCACAGTAATGACAGGCTGCTCTCCAGAAATAGTAACGCGGTATGGTACACAGACGTCTGTTAGGAAGTCTTTTTTGAAAAATAGGAAGAATCTGCATCCTGAAAGAGAGAAAAAAATGACATTAAAACGCACACAAAAGCACAGAGCGGTAAAAATATCTCAGATATCGGCTAAATCAGACAGCCGCTGACATCATCATATTAGTCACAGCGCATAAAATTAGGCAAATGGTGCATATGTAATACCAGGCGAAAAAGTCTGAAAGTGTACCTGTAAAAAATGCCGACGGCAACCCGCGAATGCGACAGTGCCGTCCGTCCGTTTTTCTACTACGGGCGGACGGCAACTGGTTAAATATCAGCTGTGTGAACATGCTAGTAGCGGGTGCTACAAGGAACTTTGGTTTGTTCTGAAATCTTCTGCGTCATCACCTAGGGGCCCCTGAACCCAAGTGTGTGCTGTATGCAAATCATTACTTTCTGAGGCATTGCATTGTGAGAGGCAGGAGGGCGCATGCTCAGAGCTCTGCTTCAGAGCTGAAGGTGAAATGTGTGGCATATCCCTGGGTTATCGTACTTGTCCTTGAGTCCCCATATAAAATCTGTAAGCATCAAAAGCATTCCTGCTGCTTCCATATCCATAATCGAGTGCACCAGTCCTCACCTGTAAGTGGCGCACTCGCATGAGGGGGCCTCCCAGTTACATAAGAATGTAACTTCAGATCGCATTCATATGGCTCACTGCACACATTACATTTGGACTGTACAATCTCCTTTAGGTCCACCAACAAGTATGTAGTACAAGGGCATGCTTGATTGGATATAAATTGATTGAATAGTTTGGGTAGACCCTTATATTACATAGTTTTGGTAGATCTAAAGGAGACTGTACATAGATTTTATGGTCAGATTGTAACATGAATGGTGACCCACAATCATTATCTCAAGATCTCAATCCTATGAACTACATACATTTCCTGCTTAAAGCTGGCCATTCGCCTATAGATTTTCTGCAGATTTTCTATGGTCAGTTGCAGGGCCGGTGCTAGGATTCTTGCCTACACAGGCAAGGTGCATTTTTGCATCCCCGAACCCCCTTCCCCGACCCCCTGTAGCGTGGGAGGAGCTCCAGGTGGGGTCCTACTTTAGCTGGCCGGCGACTGCCAGTGGTGCCGCGTGTGTCGGGATCCTCTGGCAGTCGCCGGCCAGCTAAATTAGGACCCCACCTGGAGCTCCTCCCACCGGACCAGCGCTGACTCGCCGCTGCTCTCCCGCACCGAAGGTAAGTGGAAAAAAGAAAAACATAGCGCAAGCATCGGGGCATTTTGGCAAGTACAAGTACTTGTCAAAATGCCCTGTTTTTTCCGCCCTCACCCTGCAGCTCCCTCAGGTGGCCCCTTGCCTTGCGGTAGCGCCGGGCCTGGTCAGTTGTAGGGATGCACCGATACCGATACTAGTATCGGTGCTGATGCCGAGTATTTGGGCGAGTACTTGTACTTGCCCAAAAGCTCCAATGCCTAGCCCGATACTTCCTGATTGGCCGAGGGAGCATTGAGCCGAGGCGAATACTATATAGGTGAAATCTATAGGCGAATATTCGCACGTTCGCATGCTCCCTGCACTGCAGTACAACTGATTGGCTCCTTGTGCTGCTCTTCCCTCTCCCACTCAGCTCTGCTGTACAGAGATTGCAAGCAGCTACTACCAAGTTACATTCTGGTACTTGCACTGCTTCCATTTTTTTAAAAATACACATAAGGATGTTTTAAAGATTACAGAGCTGCATTCGTTTGCATGTTTCATATCCGCTCGGAGTTCACCTTTGAATGATACATTTGGATTTTATGAGGCGCACATACCACTCCACTTTTAAAGTTCTCTATTCTCTTTTGACCGATTCTCCCTGTTATCCACCACGCCCAGGTAGGCGCGTACTGCCAGATGTAACATATCAGTAAATAGGGATGGTCCGAGATCCAGGATTCATTTAGGTCATTTGCAGCCGTCACCAAAGTCAGGCGGGCACATCGCTCTGCGGACATTTTGTAAGACTGATCTGCTGAAGATCCGAAATTCTGCAACATAAAAAGCAACGTATTATTGATGGTTGTTTCTCGACGTGTGAAGTAAAAATGAACAGGTGTCCTTATTTATATCGTAAACTGCTATTTAATAGAGTAGTACAGGCATTTCCCGGGTTACGAAGATAGGGACTCTAGGTTTGTTCTTAAGTTGAATTTGTATGTAAGTTGGACCAGGCTCATTTTTTAAGTGCAACTCCAGCCAAAATTTTTTTTTCGTTTTAGATAGCATAGGAAATAATTAACCCCCTGTAACGTTTGTTTTGCTGTGTGTGCCCCTGTTCAGAGGATTTCACCTCACTTTCTGTCCCTGTGACAATTGGATTTTGAAAATGTTGGGTTGTCACGGAAACAAGGATTGGTGATAAAACTTCAGTGGAGACACCTTTTTCCCATTACCACTCTTACAGGAGTAAATTTCCCTTCCTAGGGGTAGATTTCCTCTCACTTAGTTGTCTCAAGGACAGGAATTGAGATTAAATGTTTCTAATGAGGATACAGATAGCTGTAAAAACAGGGATCCAAACCTGAAGAAAGCAATTTAAGGGAGGTGCCCTTCACATTTCAGGGAGGGGGAGAGCACCCCACTGAATTGATGGCAGATAGCATAGAAAGCAATGGGGTTTTTTTTAGTATTCTGACAGCTGCTGCCCTCAGAATAAAAAAAAGCACAGGAAGGCATAGCTTGATTGCTATTGGCTAGTTCAATTTGCAATATCCAATAGCAAGCTGGCTATTGCACTCGCCCTCTGCTGCTGTCTTCTTTAAGGCATGTGACAAATATTTCACTTTCAGATAAAAAGCGTACCTGATCTGACCGTTCAGTAAAAGCATTTTGCACAATGTTTGACTGTACGGGTCCGGGGCATATGTTGCTGACTGTTATACCTGGATAGCATCCAAGTTCTATTCTGAGACTGTTGAAGAAGCCCTGCGAGAAAAAAAAAAGGCCACACAATGATTTCATTACATGGTATATCCCATCACAATGGTGGCATCCAGCACAAATAAACATTCAGTTCTGCGGTATGAGGCTATGTTCACACCGGACTAGATCTAGAGCAGATCTGCAAACGCAGTGCAGTGCTTTTTTGACGTTTTCCGGTGCTGGTTTTTTTTAAAAGCTTAAAATGGGCTTTCAGGTGCGTTCCAGTGCATTTGTATGCATTTTTTATGCCTTTACATGTGTTACAGACCAGAAAAATTAGGGCATGTAGCATTTTCTTTCCCCGCATGGGAACAGGTGGTGTGAACAGAGCTCAGAAATACCATAGGAATACATTGGGATACATTTCAGGTGGGGACAAAAACTGTTCTGGTCCGGATCTGGTCTGGACATGCTGTGAACAAGCCCTGAGGGCCCATTCACACCACATACAGATCATCTCCAGACCAGATTGCAACCTAATGTATCCTTATGCTATTTCTGGCCTCTGTTCACACCATCGCAGTCAGTTCCAGACCAGAGCAGAAAACTACTGCGGGCCGGTTCCAATCACAAACTCTGCATTCCAGCGCGTTCAGCCTCTGGTTGCACCGCCATGCCCCCTCTCGCCTCAAAAGAAAGTGAGCCGTACGGTTTGCGTTCCAGTGGCCAAACGCACTGGAACGCACTCTTGATGGTGTGACAGAGCCCTGCATGTCTCATTATGTCTGGTCTGGAATGCACTGGAACGCATGGAAACGCATAAGCATACAAAGGCACTGGAAAGCACCGGAAAGCCCATTTTAAGCTAATTTTAAAAAAGGCTCCAGAACACGGCAAAATCGTGGTAAAAACACGGCAAAACGCAATGCACTGCGTTCCAGATCTGGTCCAGAAAATAGTGTTCACCTGCCCAAGGTGACCCCCTTACTCTCCCATTACTCACCCCGCTGAACTCCCTCAATATAAAGCTTACCTGAATGGCATGCTTGCTGGCAGCATATCCGGTGGACAGAGGCACTCCGATAAAGCCGGTCACACTGCTGATAGTGACAATCTTCCCTTTCTTCCTTTCTATCATGTGGGGTAAGACATGCTTAGTCAGAGAAATAGTCCCAAAGTAATTAATCTCCATTAACCCTCGAAACACATCCAGATCTGTATCCAGACACAGGGAGCGCTGGGATCTTCCACTGTTATTCAGCAGGATATCAACCTGGAAGGAGAACATACACAGCTAGAACGGTAACACAGAAGGGCCAGGGACAGATTTTTATCACTGGAGCCTGCACACACGCAACCTTTGGCACGCAAAGAAACACTCCTCTGCTGGGATCAGCTCTTCCACATGGAACATTTTCCTGTCTTGCTCATTCTACCGTGTTTTCCCGAAAATAAAACACTCTCTTATATTTTTTTAGGTCTTATTTTCGGGGTAGGTCTTATTTTTTTTTTAATGTACAACAATCCACACTTATTCATGTACAGCAGTCTACCTGTATTCATGTACAAAAACAGGGTGATCAGGGCAATCAGGGGTGCCGTACCTTTCCAAGAGCAATTTGGTAACCAATCCCTGGCCAGAATGAGCAAAGCGCGCTTTCACTATCGATTCCTCACAGGCGGAGTGCATTTGGTATCACTCCGCCTGCGACAGGAGCCGGCGCTATAGGGGAAGCATCAGCTTATGCGGCTCTGCTCCCTCCGCTGCTGCCTTGCTTCCTCTAGCACTGGCTTAGTTGGCACCGCTGATTCTCTGCCGCCTCTCCCGCGGCTCTTTAAAGGAGAACTATGTGGTTAGGGCTTTTCCCCATAGTTCTCCTGAGGGTCACGGGAGGACACAAACTAGCGTTCTCCCGTGACCCAAAGCTCAGTATACTGCGAGCTGTAGCTCGCGGTATACTGAGATGCCGCAGCCAGAACGGATCCCGACAATGCTGTCTGGATCCAAACAGCTGTGTGAGTGACAGCTGGCTCTGCCTATCCAGAGGCAGAGCCAGCTGTGCCTGCCCCCTCCCCATCCGTTCCGCCAGTCAGCGATGGAGGATAGGAGTGGGGAGGGGGGGGGAATCCCTGCAGGAAGCCATGAGTGACAGTCACGGCTCTCTGGAGGGATAGATGGAGAAGTGAGCGAGCGACGTTATGTGTTCGCTCACTTCCCGATCTACTGAGCCGACCTGTGACAGTCTCATTGTCACAGGTCGGCTAGAACTATGAGGCTGAGTGAAAATCACTTGCCTCATAATTCTCCTTTAAGTTCCCCCTTATGCCACCACCGGCCCTGGCAATGGTCACAACTAGGTCTTAGTACTAGGTCTTTTTTTCGGGGTAGGTCTTATTTTCAGGGAAACACGGTATGCTGAACATGCAAAGGAGCTAATATAAGATCACTAAACTGGTACAGAAAATGTGCGGCCAGTACCTATACAGCTGCCCCTTTCCCTCTGCAGGCTATAGCCTTAGGGCCACTGTGCCCAGCCATAGGGCTGATTTTGGAATTGAAAGACATTGAAAGATTACATTTTTTTACTCCCAGTGTAATAATCTGAACAACTTATATTTAGGTGCCAACACTTCTGCCCATTGCATGGCAGGGGTGGGCAACTCTGGCCCTCCAGCTGTTGTGGAACTACAAGTCCCATTAGGCATTGCAGTGCTGACAGTTACAGGCATGACTCGCAGAGATACGTTGGGATTTGTAGTTTTTAGCAGGGCCGGAGTTGCCTAAGGGCCCATTCACACCAGCAAGCAGTGCTGAACATTCAGTTGCTGGTGTGCGATGACAGGCACACTCCTGACGCGCCTATCCTGGTGCATCGCACTGTTTACTTTTTTTTGTTAGAACTTTATTTAAATGTGAATTACATGTCATGAAGTTCAATCGGCACAACAAGGTGCAATGCAGTTATACCGCCTCACACCGGTCTGCCCTGAAAAAACATACAACATGCCATTCTAGTTCTCAGTGCACACCATGGCAGCGTAGTGGTGTGAACTGTACCCATTGAAACAAATTGTCCTTATCTGTGCATCGATGGAAAAAGTGCCCAAGGTGCAACCCCAACGTATCTGGTCTGAACAGGCCCTACATTTTGGAGCATACAGCAGGTGCTGTTCCCCATAATGACCAGTTACGTATAATTATTAGTTGTATTCCTTGCCAAGGGTAACCGGCCCATTTTAATTGCAGCGTTCATAAAGCAGAACACTACATTGAGATTTAGTTCATGAACAAGTGAAGAGCACGGGCCTGCTTGTGTGCGTCACAACCCCTGTCCACCATATATAGCCATTGTCCATCATACAGAACAGGGGTGGGCAACTCCGGCCTCCAGCTGTTGTGGAACTACAAGCCCCATGAGCCATTGCAAGACTGACAGCCAAAGGCCAGAGGCATGACGGCATTTGTACCACAGCTGGAGGGCCGACGTTGCCCACCCCCCTGATACAGAGCAATTGTCTCACACACACAGGAGGTTACAGTAGAATATTTACAGAGCGCTCACCCTGCCAAAATGTTCCACCACCTTGTCTGTTGCTGCCTTGTGGGCGCTTATGTTGGTTAGGTCCAAGGGAACAACTAATACATCTTTGTCTTCCAAGCCGCTGATCTCTGGTGAAAACAAACCACAAATATATTAAATAAAAGTATACAGAGCTGATTTACAAAAAAAAAAGTGGGAAACAGGAAATATGGAATTTTTACTCCGAGCAATCAATGAGATTTCATCATTTCTAATGTAGCGATAGGAACGTGATCGGTCACTCCTTATTAATTGTGATTAGTTGCCATGGGTAACAAAAACAATGGGAGCAATTTATCAAAACTGGAGCAGACAGAATCTGAAGCAGTTGTCTATGGCAACCAGCTTCTCTTTCCTCTTTGTTCAGTTAAGATTTTGAAAATAAAAGACAGAAGCTGATTGGCTGTCATGGGTGACCGGATTCTCTCTGCTCCAGTTTTGATAAATCCCCCTCATTGCTTTTCCAGTCCTATTTGCTCCACAATCTGTAAATTGGCACTGAAAGTAACACAGGGCAAAAAACGGGAAAAGATGAAGAAAACGTGTGACGTGTATACTCCCAGGACTGAAAATCTCATACTGAGACTTATAAAAGTGTTATCAGGAAAGGACACGGGTGAGAAGTTTATATTTTTCTCCCTGCCTCATCTGCAGAGCCTTTTTCGGTGGCCCCGGATAAGATTCAAACTGGGACCCCATTGGGTGGAGTACTGCAGGTCCTCCAGCACCACCCAGTTCATAAGCCATACAACCGAAGCAGGCAACCTTGACACTCCAGCTGTGGTAGAACTACAAGTTCCATGATGCTTTGCAAGACTGACAGCTACAGACGTGACTCCCAGAGGCAGAGGCATGTTGGGATTTGGAGTTTCTCCACAGCTGGAGTTCGGAGGTTGCCTGCCCCTGGTCTAATGTTTATTAGAACACAAGGTCACGTTAAATATTGGGTTGTAGGCTTGGATGAAGCGCTGGGCATTTACGTAACAAGTATTAGACCCGCAGCAGGAAATTAAGACAGCTTCCTGTTTAATGTGGCCGGTGGAAAACCAGACATTACACATAATTCCTCCACCACTGGCCCATCCCAAATATATATGCCCTTCTTCTTAAAGTGGAACTAAAGCGGAAACTTTTTTTTAGCTTTGGATAGAGTGAGGACTCACACCATATCCATGCTTTACTCGCATGGTTCTGTGCAATTAACAAATGCTACCAAGCAACGCACCTGCCATGGGTTACCAAGCAACGCACCTGCCATGGAAACGCAATGTTGCTATTCATTTAAATGGCACCCCAAGTTCACCTCCCATCCGCAATGCGCTCAACCGCACTGTAACAGGCAGCCAGTACCGCAATACTTTGCTTTGCCAAACATATAAAAACGCATACTGACTTAATGTGCGCATATACACGGCTACAATGATTTTACACATGAAATGCGGTGCTTGCATTCCTTCTATGTCCATGTGAATGAGCTCTTAAGCACAGTAGGTGCGTTGCGCAGTATCATGCGTTGATCTGATTAATGCACGGACCTGGTGTGAACAGGCCCTAAGGGAGGCTTATTATAATCCCTGTCAGATTGTCATCTGTGTCCCATTGGGGAGATTTCCCTTCACTTCCTGTCCCATAGCCACCGCCACAGGAAATACCAACGGAAAAATCACTTGACCTAGTGTCATCGAGAGACTATAACAGACATCTCAACTCTCCCGGGTGTTCCGGGAGTCTCCCGCTATTAGATAGCGGCTCCCAGACACCCGGGTGAGAAACATTTTCTCCCGGAAAGGTTTACTCTGCTCGATGTAACAGAGTAAACCTTTCCCTGCTGGTTTTTTTTTTTTTTCTGACATCGGCGCCCGTTAGTCAGACGAAAACAAAAACGGCAGACTAGCTATTGCACCCGCCCACTGCTGCTGTCATTCAGCAGCGGTGGACCTGAAGTTCTCCATCAGGTCCACCTCTGCTGACTGACAGCAGCAAATGTGCGATAGCCAGTTCCTATTGGCTATTGCAAATTGAAATAGCCAATAGCAATCTAGCTATTAGTTCCTATGCCGTTTTTTCTGGGTTTTTACAGTTTACCGAACCGGCAGCAGCTGTCAGAACACTAAAAAAACAGCAGATAGCAAGGGAAGCATTAGCTTCTTTGCTATCTGCCATCATTTCAGGGGGGTGCTCTCTTCCTTGTTGTTGCGCCCCCCTGTGGAGAGGGGGGGGGGGTTGACAGAGGACACCTCCCTGAAATGAGAAGGGAACCTCCCTGAAATGACTTATTTCAGGTTGGGATCCCTGCTATAATGAAGACACAGACAGCAATTAAAATGTGACAGGGGTTCTAATCCCTCTCTACTCTCTATAACTAAAAAATGTTGGCTGTAGCTTGGGAAGTTATCTGTAACATTCGGTGCAGCAACCATGGCAGTCAGACACAGAAACATTATATGACGCCTCAGCTGTAGTCTACGGCTCCTGAGCACTCTGATATTTGATTACAAAGGAAATTAATAAATAAATAGCTAGATAAAAACACAACAGGACAGGAAGTGGATTATACAAACCAATGCATTTCTTCTTCACCCTCAGCAGCTCAGCCTCACGTCTGGAGGACAGGACAAGCTGGGCACCTAATTTGGCCAACTGGTAACATAGCGCCTCGCCGATGCCGCTGGACGCGCCGGTCACCCACACAACGCTGCCGCGGAACTTACTTTCTACAAGATAAATGAGATTTTACGATACATATATTTGGACGTAAACATCATTTTTGACATACATTGAACTTTATTTAGCAACACACAGTCTCCTACAGTAACCAATCAGAGCTCATAGGCTGGCCATACACCTATCAATTCTTTTTCATTCAACCCGCGGGCTGAATGAAAAAAATGTATGCAATTCCTCCATGAACACAAACAGCGTGTCGATCGAGGAATCGCCGGTATTTACGTTGTATTCTGACAGGTGCCGCCGCCACCTGTCAGACTACCCGATCAGAGACGGCAGCTCATTGGCTGATGGCTCTGATCATACGAAGATTAGCCAGCCGTCTCCTTCGATCAGCTGATCAAGGAATGCCGGCTGAAAGGGAGCCGACAGTCCCACACACTGTGCAAATTTTGTCTGGTACAATAAAAACTGGCCGAAATTCGGCGAGTGTATGGGCACCTTTGTCTCACTGATCACACAGAGCAGATCGGAAAATGGACGCCCTCTGGCCTGCTCCCCACTCTTGAATTAAAGGAGAACTATGAGGTGAGTGCTTTTCACTCACCTCATAGTTCTAGCCGACCTGTGACAATGAGACTGTCACAGGTCGGCTCAGTAGATTGGGAGGTGAGGGAACACATACCGGCGTTCGCTCACCTCTCGATCCTGTCACGGCTCTCTGCCGTGACAGGGGAGGGGCTGGATTCCCCCCGCTCCGATCCGCCAGCGCTGACTGGCGGAACGGATGGGGCGGGTACAGCTGGCTCTGTCTCTAGATAGGCAGAGCCAGCTGTCAGTCACGCAGCTGGGCGGATCCCGGCACAATTGTCGGGATCCGCTTCAGCGTCTCAGTATACTGAGCCTAGGGTGATGGGAGGACGCTAGTTTGTGTCCTCCCGTTACCCTAAGGAGAACTATGGGGAAAAGCCTTAAACCCATAGTTATCCTTTAATTTTCCATGCTGATAAAATAGTCCCGTCTCCCCGGGCTCTGGGAGCGGACCAGGACCTGGTGGCGCACTGGTGTCACCCCCTGCGATCCGCACCCCCCAAGTGATGCCGCTGCCATTAGCAAAACTCAGTACAGGGAACAACTTTTCACCCATGTTTTATGCAAGTAGCATTTAAAAGAAAAATAAGTTCTGCTGTGTGACAAATATGAAATAAGTTTTATCCCAAACTGACTACAAAAAGTGGAAATACGCTTTCATTGTAGCGCATTTTAAGGTTTAGCTGAGTTAGGTCGATTTCTCAGCAGCGTGCGATAATTACCTGGTGAGTGGCCAAACCGCTCTGCCCACAGCAAAGTTAAATCTGCATCGGCTTTAATAAACCTGATGATCTGTATGAGAAAGTAGGCGAGGCAGCAGAGCATCAGTAGGATAAGCAGAGCCATGCTGCCTGCAGCTTCCACCCACGCAGCAGGTCACACAAGAGGGGTGGTCTTCTGGCTGTCTCTCTATGGGATTCGCTGCCTCTGATGCATAGTATGTGGCTTTGTCCTTTTCCTCCTCTGTTAAAGGAACAGGAGGGCTCTCTGCTGCTCAATCTCCTCCTCTTTCACTCTACATAGAGGAAGTTGTGCAAGGCTCTCATTCTCTGTGTGTGTTACATAAAGGCGTGCTCAGCAGGACTTGCTCAACTAGTATTTCTATCTATGCCAGTGCTGTCTGTGCGAGATACTAACCAACAAGAGCAGCAGCAACCCTTGTCATGTGCTGCACGTATCGGCTGACATTGCAATCTAAATGACATTAACCCTTTCTCTGCCAGAGCTGTTTTTATTTAATATACATTTTTTTTTGCACACATATTAAAATGCACATTTTAGGCGTGAAAATTATAATTATATTTTCTGAAAGCAGAGACCCCGTAGAACAGTGATAGGCAACCTCAGGCACTCCAACTACTATCGTGTCTCCTGGAGTCACACCTGTGGCTGTCAGAGTCTTGCAATGCCTCATGCGACTTGTAGTTCTACCACAGCATGAGGGCTGAGGTTGCCAGTCCCTGTGGTAGAATCAAATGTTGGCAGTAGCAGTATTTCATGGCACCCGATATTAGCGCAACCGTTTATCAAATAGAAATTTTCATTTAAAAAAAAAAACAGTTATTTAAATTATTATCATTATTATTATACAGGATTTACATAGCGCCAACAGTTTGTGCAGCGCTTTACAATATAAGGAAGACATTACAATCATAATACAATTCAAGACAAGTTAGTAAGGAGGGCCCTGCCCCTGAGGGCTTACAATCTAAAAGGGAAGGAGAAGTGATACATGAGGAGGTAGCTGTGTGGGGATGAATTGTTTGAGAACGTGATGGTTCAGTGGTTTAAATGAATTCTATAGCACACAAACACAATATAATACCCATTACCCAATTGTTTGGTGAAATATAAAAGCGGTGGTTGCGCCGAGTAAATAGAAGGCAAACATGTCAAGGCTCAAAACTGTGTGCGTCTCTGAAACGGCAAAAAAATGTTGCTTCCTTAAAGGATAATGAAACCCTCGTGTTTTTGTTTTTTGCATATATCTACTGCTAGCAAGCAGTAGATATATGCAAAAACAATCAAATAAAAAAAGTTTACAAAAGGGTTAAAACTTACCTGTGTCTCCGCCGCGCGCTCCCATTCGAAGATCTGAAGATTCCTGGGAGGCCGCAAAGGATCATGGAGCAGAGGCATGCGCAGTATAGATCTTCGGCCGGGAGAAGAGGAGAGACACAGGGTAGGCCAATGCACGCAGCATGCACCCACACAGACCCCGTGGTACAGGAAGAGACAGGAGTCTGCGGTGGATCAGAGACCGGCACGAGTACTCGAGGGACTCCTGGAAACTACTGGAAAGAAGCAGATGATCGGATCAAGAGGCGTCATTTAAGGTAAGTTCTGACACTAGCATTGATGGGGGGGATTTTGGCTTTAATGTCACTTTATATCTTTAATGGGTGACACTTTAAAAGCCTGCACAGGTTTTTCATTTAGAGTTAACTATAAATTATAAGCCTATAATTATTGTTCTCACCTCGGGCGTGCACGGTCATACCCAACATGTGTGGCACAAACATGATTTTAATACGTAGACGTACCTGATGCATGTGTTTCCATTTATATGTGTGCATACACGGGGGCAGTGGGGATTTAACATTTTTAGGGGGGTTATTTATTTTATTCAACTTTACATTTTTAAACTTTTTTTTTTTTTACACTTAACTTTATTGCTGTCGCATAGGAAGCTGATGTCCCCCATTCCCTTTTAAATTGTAAGCCCTGCGGGCAGGGCCATCCTTAACATCCTGTCTTGAATTGTATTGTGATTGTAATGTCTTCCTTATATTGTAATGCGCTTTCTCAAACTGTTGGCGTTATATAAATCCTGTATAATAAGGATAATAATTTGTGATAGCAAGTTACTGGTGACAGGCCCTTTTTAAGAGTCCAGTAGCGTCACCAGCACACCATTAAACGTGAAAAAAATCAATTTAATGACACACACTTGTCATTCAAATGAAAACGTTTTTGGGGCCTCACAGGGTCTCCTTCATCAGGCTCAGAATGATGAAGCCTGATGAAGGGGACTGTGTGAGGCCCCGAAAATGTTTGCATTTGAATGACGAGTGTGTGTCATTAAATCATTTTTTTTTTCATGTTTAATGGTGTGCTGGTGAGGTTACTGGACTCTATGTGACATTCACGGTGCCACCCATCGTCATTTCAAGTACCCGCCTGATCTTACAGGTTTAGTCTTTGGATTTGGTAAGGAGTGCAACAGGACATATTTATACCAGGCCCTTTTTAAGGAGACATCAGGGGCCTATTAGAGCCCTAATGTCACCTTTCCAGCCCTCTGAAGCTGATCAGTTGGGGGTGGGGGGATATCAGGCAGCTTTACAGGTGCCCAAATCACTTCTACGTGCAACTGTGATTAGTGGATCCTGGGTGCAACGCTCTGGCTCCAGCAGACTCTTCCTCCCGTCCATGTTCTGTAACAGGAATAGGGGGTAAAATGTCAATGGACTACAAGTGAGGTGAAGTCACTGCACTTGTATTCCATTTAAAACTACAGGTCACTCTGCTGTGCTAGCTGATGGGACTTGCAGTTTCCCCATTCACAAATCCTGTGAAAGGATTCTTGTTACACCTGTATATGGGTGTAACATGAAAAGTCGTCAGAAAGGTAAACTTAGCCTTTAACTATACAGACTGATGATAAACTACATTTGTACGACTGTATAAAACAATCAAAAGACTTTTCAGTACTTTCTGGGAATTTTTTTTCTCCAGTGTGTAGTATGTACACACTGACAAAGTCATTTGTATGTAAGGTGGGTAAGGCAAGACATCCCTGTTTAATCTGTGCTTAAACAGAGCAGGCCAAGTGACACAGTGCTGAAAGCACCTTGGTAGAAGGCTCCCAGGCTGCTGTAGTGGTGATTACATAAATTGGATTAAAAGATTATATTCATCCGCTGCCAGATTATATTCAATAAAGCACAAAAATGTTTAATCTCTGGAAAAGAACTGCAGAAATGTTTGCAAGTGGCTCGGTTAGGCCAGAACTGGGAAATTTAAATAAGAACGTAAAGAAGAATTAAGCTGTCACAAAAGCATGGAGAGCTGTAAGCAAAAACGCATTGCTGCAATTTTTTTGTAACAAAATAACAGTTTTCCCTTCACTTTGTACACATTTCACCTCCAATGCACAGGAAAGGGTGACAGTGCTGCAGTTGAACTTAGTAGATGTTGTCACCCTAGGATACATAAGCGTCTATTTATAAACCTTCTGCCCAGCCATGTGCTGGGCAAATGCCCTTCAAATTCCATGCTCACCTCTAGATGGAGTTGAGGAGCATAGGATTACCTATGGTCCTCCGCTCCACCTAGTTGCAGGAATGGCATGCGAGTGGCATTCAGCCAGCATATGGCTGGGCAAAAGATGTATAAATATAGACCCCTTAGTGTCTAAGGATACACTTACAATCCAATGCGCAGGAATGGGTGCCAATACAGCTGAACTGCATCGGTATTGTCACCTTAGGGCACATAGGATTGTGGCATGCATTTGTATGCCTGCTTGTAATCCAATGCATAGGAAAGGGTGACAATGCTGCAGCTAAACTTAGTAGGTATTGTCACCCTAGGATACATAAGCGTCTATTTATAAATCTTCTGCCTAGCCATACGCTGTGCAAATGCCGTTCAAATACCATTTCCACCACGAGATGGAGACGAGGAACATAAGAAGTTCCTATGCTCCTCAACTCCATCTAATGGGAACAGCATTCGGCCAGCATATGGCTGGGAGGAAGATTCATAAATAGACCCCATAGTGTCTGTGTGTGTATATATATATATATATATATATATGTATTACAATTTACCATTCTTTACATTTGGTGGCTGAACTTGTTTTCTTTCTTCTTTTTAAACTTTTTTTTCCTCTTAATTTTCACCTGGTAGTCTTGCCAGTGACAACTCCCATCACAACTCAATATAACTTTCAACCGCAGGAACTGTAGTACTTATATAATAATTCTCTCATTAAGCCCTGATGAAGGGGGTGTGTTTTGAACCCCTGAAACGTATTGGCTACTCTAGTTGAATGTCCCCTGACCCTAATAGAATAAAGTTGTATCTGGACTATTTTAACTGGTGTGGTGCTTTAATTTCAACATATACTGTGTTCACTGCTGAGCCAAGGATACTATGGAGATCCTTTGGTTTGTGGAAGCTGCCTACCAGTCAGCCAGAACACACATATTCACATCACTTAACAACTGTTAGGTGAGAAATACCAAAAGAATAACCACACGGGTCCAGCGCTTTCTTACCACAGTTCCAAATATCACAGTTCCAGGATCATCCTGTCCTAAGGTAACACTGCTCACACACTGTACCATATACAGTACATGGAGTTGCTGCATTGTCACCCTAGGACTAAAAATGTGCGAGGACTACAGAAATCCTAGTTATCTCCTCATCTCTATAACATAGATGGGAGGTGTTCTGTAGTACTAACACACACCTTATAACATTTGAGATATGACTGCAGAGTGCACAGGAAGCAGGAAAACAATAGATTTGTGGCAGGTTCAACAGGTATTGTTTGCCCTTACTGAACAGATATAAAAAAATGCTTGCAATGGTACTTTTAACAGCCCAGAAGGGAAATAAATAAGAGAAGATCATTGTTAGGGTTTGCATACTGCCAAAGACCATCATGGTTTGGTAAATGGGAACTGTAATACCTAGCCATCCGGCTTGTACAGAGTGATGAAATACCTCCTGCCATCCACAATCCTGGCTTGACTGTAGCCCAAGCATACCCATAAGGAGAAATCTTTGACTCTCCACCAACACAAACAAAAGAAAGTGAGAATAAAGGCAGCTGGTGAATGAGTGTCTTTCATTTTGCTCATTCATGTTGTTGGCATACACTGAAAGCACTAAAGGATTTTTCCAGGGCTTCTGTATACACAGTCGGCGGTACTGAGAGGAAACACAGTCATAAAAGTCTCAAAGTAGACCTGGTTGCCATTTT